TGGGAGCCTGGTCCTCCATGAATGCCTCCAGACCCCCTTTCACCCCCTCCAAATTGCCTGCCATCCACACCATTGCTGGCAGCAGATCCCACTGTTGAACTGTGTGCTGTGTAAAAAACGAACACCTTATGTCGGTCCTGAATCTTCTAGATTTGATTCAAGGAAGCTCTTAAATTCCAGCACTGGGAGAGAGGGAGACATCTTCTCTCCACATGATCGTATAGATCCATACCGCCACTTCCAAACATCATCGTCCAACAGAGAGCGGAATCGTTCTTTACAACCCAAAGTGGTTGCCGGTTGAGGGTGCCCAGAACTCTCCATCTCTATTGCCCTTCCTCTCCTTGAGCCGTCTCCCTTCCCTCTCCTCTTCCAGGTCTCCAGTTTTCACAGGGGAAGAGGACGCCACTCGACTCGTTTCAAGAATAAAGAGCTTGACATGGCCCTGGATTCTTTCGATGACCAATACAACCGCTGCGTGAGTCAGATGGAGCAGGAACTGCCAGCGTTACTAAGCTCTGAACTTGACATGAATCACATCTACCGTGACAGCTGGCAAAAGGCCGTCAAGAAGTGGGACGAGATCAAGGAGCACATCGTCCTGCCCAGAGGCCTCCAGCCACTTCATGCCACTGCGGTCCTGGCTTATACAGAAAACTCACTATTTAGAGATTTCAACCAGGCGGTCCGGAAAGCTGGGCGAAGCAGAAAGGCTTACAAAGATAAATTCCATTACAAGTCCTTCCACTACCTTCTGACCAGGGCTGTCAAGATCATTCGAAAGAGCTCCACACTGAAGTCCAGGATGGTGTATCGGGGGATGGAGCCCCAAACTTTGACAGCTAAACGCTCCAAGGCCGTTCGTTTTGGACAGTTTGCTTCCTCTTCCCTGGACAGAAGCACGGCGGAACGTTTCGGAACGAAAACCTTCTTCACCATCACTACCTCCTACGGGGCCTTCATTGACGGCCTCTCCTTCATTCCCAAAGAAATGGAGGTGCTGATTCCACCCTTTGAGACATTCAAGGTGGTCAGTTTCACCAAGACAAAAAATGGAAACAATATCACACTTGAAGCCAGTGGTATTTTCAGCAGATACAATTGTGAATTTTTGAAGATCAGGCATCTCTGATTCTAATAGAAGAGAATATGCATAGCTCAGGGTTGAACTGTGGAGTCCTTGGCGTTCTCTGAGCTTGGTGGTTTCCTTGCAAACGTTTCATTACCCAGCTAGGTAATCTTCAGTGCTAGAATGGGATGGGGTTTGCTCTC